TTTTTTTTTTTTGAATATTATTTAGCTTGATTCGCATCGTGATTTCGATTCACCTTTCAGTGATAATCCAATTGAAACATCATCAACTCGTTATTCTAATCGATCACGTCGACAAACATCATCATCAAGACATTCTGATGCGGGTTATATTTCATTTGAAACAGCACTTAATCGACAATCATATTCAACACCCGATTTTGATATTACTGTACTTCAACAACCTAGGTCAAATAATGAAACAAATCATATAATACAAACTGAAGGTTTAGAAACGGAATCAATATGTACATTAGAATGTTTAGCTCAACGATATGAAAGAACATTACAAGATAGACGACAAGCAATTGCGGTTATTAATGATCAATTATTAGATATTGGTGGTGTTTTACAACGTTATCGACAAAGAATACGAGAACCAGTATCAGTACCAGTACAATCAAATAATGTAGATTTTTTTTTCTTCATTATTTTTATTTTATTATTTTATTTAGGCAATACGAGTCTCTCGAGATATAGTAATGCCATCACCAAAACCAAGACAAGAACGTTCATCATCTCCAGTATCTTCGACTGGATCAACAAGAAGTAAATATCGATTTTTACCAAGTACATCCAGAGAAGAAATTCATCAAGATTATCTTCCATCACCTCTAATATATATTACAACTCCTATATTAAATTCTCCTCGACAACCAATAATACAAACCGAATATTGTGATATATGCTTAACTGATCATGGTGAAGGTTCAGCATGGATTCGTTATAATGAACAACGTCTTGAAACATTACAACAACGAATTGATTTAATGTTAGAGTTTAATGATATGGAAGATGTTCAATCATCATCAATATCTTCATCAGATTCAGTTAGAAACATAGCAAGAGCATCATCAACACAACGTATTGATAATATTCTTATGGGAAGATCGCAACGTCGAAATCAATTAACTTATAATAATGATCAAATAAGTGACTCAAATAAAGTTTTTTTCTAAATAAAAAAATCATATCTATTTTTATATATATTTTAAGGTGTACCTCATCGAACTAATTATCGTTCATCTCGTGATATGAATTCAATGGTATCAGAATTTTCTCACTATTCACCACGAAACTTATCAAGATCGATACTTCCTGCATCAAAAAGAGTACGAATATCAACGACTGATATATTAATTCCAAATCAAGCTCATCTTCATGAACCAATATCATCATCATCACAATCTATTCCTCGACCAATTGTTTCAATCTTACGTCGTAATAATATAAATTTAACAGCAAGACTACATGGATCAAATGAAATATCACAATTAGGTAGACGAGATATGAATAAAAATCGTTCGATGATTGACCAATTTACTATTCCACGTTATTATCGTTTATATAATGATGTTGGTTTTCGAGAGGTTTATGATTTTTCTTGTGTACTTAATTCATATTTAAATCGAACAACATCACAAGATTATTCTTCAATGATTCAACATTTTGCATTAGATCATCAAATACCAGCACCAATCATAAGTGCAGCATGACATACATAAACTTCTTTTTTTTTATTATTTCTTTTATTTCTTCTTTTGCTTTTTTTTAAATTAGGTATATATCATCTTGAAAATAAATCTATTTATAAACTATAATGAAAGTATCTATGTTTTTTATTTATTTAAATTTATCGGAGTAACATTTAGATAAATCGTAAATAAAAGAATACTACAAGATTTTATCAGTACATATTGAAAGAAATCATTTTGAATTCAACATACTATAAAACTGATTGTTTTGTGTTCCAAAATTTTTATCGGAAAGAAAAATCAACATAAAGTTGTGAGGGAATGAATCAATGCATGTCTCTAAGTGTCGTTGAACATAGTTAATTTAACGTTAATCTTCATGCTAAACAAGCCTAATCCGCAAACCTTGAGTCCGATAGTGGTAAAAATGCTGCACATGTTTTGTGATTATTTTTCAGAGTATATACTTAACTCTATGTATTTCATTGTTCTATCGAGATTTTTCCTTTGAAGTTTTTACATCAAGTTTTCTTCACAAGTGATATCTCAATACAAGAAACACACAATGAATATTGATATGTTTGATTGACAGAAAATTCAAGTGAAACTGAATCCGTATATATATTTACTTTCTTCAAGCAAGACTTTGGAATGTAATTCATCTATTATAAGGATTTGAGTAAATAGAAGATAACTTATGTATAATTCCTTTCTTCTATCTCCATGTCATTCATCAAAAACAAGAGATGCAATCCATTCATTTTCCCATCGAATTTTATCATTTCGTAAAATATCTTTATAAGGTTTGCACTTAATAAATTTTATAACTGAAATTCACATTCAAGAACAATAAAATTTACAGAGTAAACTATATGAACGTGAGAAATAACTTTCTCAATGTAAAATGAACTAAGCTGACAGTCTTGTTAATGTCAACCTCGAAAAACTAATTTTGGACTAAAGAAACATTACATCTACTTTTCTTTTCTGTTTTATCTTCAATCAATAAAAGACGAATTTTGTTTTTTCTGCATACAAACCTTGTCAATTCTATAGACATAAGTAGTAAGAGTAATCTAAATGAAAGATGCTTCTATTCATATTTGCATCGTTTGTTCTTCCTCTTCATTCATTAAATCCAATGTTCAATCGATTTCGTCGTCAATCAAATGGTTGTGGTCCAATAACTTTCAATATCGATAGATTTCTTAAAGACATTGGTGACGATGTTTTAATTGTATGTTGTAATGAACATGATTTATGTTATGATACATGTGGTCAAAAACAATTCACATGTGATACTACATTTCTACATTGCATGATTCAAGCATGTCAACAATTATCGCCATTAACGAATATTGATCGTTGTCAAACTAATGCTCGTATTCTTTTTTGGTTTGTATTTTTTGCTGGTCAATCTGCATATCAACAAGCACAACAACAACATCAATGTAATATATCAAAACAAAATAATTCATAATGAAAATATTCGCTTTTTACATTTCATATATTAAGATTGTATTAAAAAAGTAATATATATATCATAAGATATCGTATGAAAAGTTCGATAATCTACGATATAAAATATATTTTAAGTACGTACGTTTTGTTTGTTTATTTTCGAAATAAAAAAGTGCACACGTAAAATATGTTTTATTATGCAGATTGTACAGCTTCTCCTGTTATATTTTGTTTTTTTTATACCATCTATTGATTAATTGAATTACGGAATGAAAAAGGCGAACATTCGTTATTTTTGGAATTTTTTTTTAATTTAATTTAAATAAAAATGTAATTAGAACATGTTTAATAAATATAAAAGATTTTATTCATCGATTGTGTAGAAGATTCATGCCTATACATAATCTATCTTATATTTTGAAATAAAATATCTATTATTATGACAAACATAAGCGATTAATTTGATTAAAAATAAAGATATATTCAAATAAACATAACGTGATACTTCAAAGTTTATCTATACAAGATCAAGTATTTTATGAATTAAATTTAATCAAGATATATCTCTTAACTTACCATTAAATAAATACATTTAATTGTTTACTCATCATTACTCACTGACATTTTATAATATATATATCTATATGATACTTTCTTTCTTTCTTTACACTTCATTTTGCAATGATATTTAAGAATAACATTGATCATATGTGATCAAAGAGAAATGTAGTAATAATAATAATAACACGTCGATTGGTAGACATACGCATTAAAAAAACATAAAAAAATGAGAAGAGGAGGAGTTTAATGGATGGTCAATTAGAACAAAAAATAACATTGACATGTAGGAGGTCAATTGATTAGCCTTTTGATGATATTTTTCTTTTTAAGAAACATCGAACAAAAAACAGGTGGGTAGAAGTCAGACTGAGTGTGCAGCAGGTGGACAAGCGTGTCATTGATCTATCTATCTTCAGTGTAATGTGCGATGGAGAAGAAGAAAAAAATGAGAGTCGATTAATCGAGCATGCTGTGACACATCGATCAAAGCGGGGGAAAAGATCCTCCCCTATTAAGAGCATCGTTAACTTGAATATAGACAATCAAAACGACAACTGTGTTTTTCTTTATTAATGCACATATAAAATGATACATTATCATCATTGATTTTGATTGTGTCATTCAAATCAAAGTATCTAAAACTTTTTGTCTTGTTTAGTTGAAAAGTTTTCTTAATAAAGTTTGTTCATATATAAGTCTAATCGATCAATTTCACTGACTTGTTCATTCTTTTGATATATTTAAAGGTGTTATAAATAAGAGATTGACATACTTGTGTCGATTTCTTCGATAAAATGAACTAAAGAATATTTGTCATCGGATAGATCAAAAAAAGGCGACAAGCAATGGATATTATCAAGTAAGTGCTTTTTTTCTCTTATATACACAAATGACTTTTTGATGATCTATCGAAATTTTTTTATTTTCTCAATGTAATAATTAATCATTTTTGTTAAATTCTAATAAGATATTGACGATGAAAAACAAACTGTACAAGAGCAAAAAAGAAAACGAAAGCCTCGCCATTTGACTGTATTATAATATTTAGAATTTTTCTAATGATGTTGATAACTAATATGAAGATTTAATCGATGCATGTTCTGTACAAAGATGTTCAAGTAAATTTATATGATTTGTAAAACGTTTTCCACAAAATCCATCTTGATTAGTTGAATCAATCCAATTACAAACAAATGGTAATGATAAAATTGAATCGATTAAATACGGAGATGATTGTTGACATGTTGGAAGTATCGTTGAATAATTACATGGTACTATTGATGATGAAATTATTTTATTTAAATATTGTAAAAATAATGAATCAAATGTTGATGATGATTGTGGATGAGAAATTTTTTTAGTTGTTGATATTGGAAAAGTTGAAGATGCGAGACGTTTTAAAGATTTTTTTCCTTCTTGTGGTGAAATAGATTTTCGTTGTTTAGATATAAATGATGAGGATGATGATGGAGGTGATGTTTGTTTTATAGGTATTGAAAATTCTTTTCCAATATTATTACATGCTTGAGCCATTAATACTAATGGATTTTCTTTTTGTGTTGAATATTGATCAACCTATTATAGAATAAAATTAAAAATCTTTTGTTTTATTTTTTAATAAATAATAATTACTGTTGGATTGATATATCCAGCATAGATAGGATTCTTTTTCGTTGATGTTGTCATTGTAAAATATATATATATATATGTGAATAGAAATGGAAAAAAGATGAGTGTTTGAAGGTGGAGAAAAGAAGAATAGAGAGGAGAAGAAAAATAACTACATAAACGCGCATTTGATCGATCATAAATCACAACGAGACAATGATTGGTTAAGAACGACATATGTCGATTTTCTTTTTGTCCAATGTCGAATTCATATTTTGCGGTTGCTGTTTTTTTTTGTCTATATGTATATATAATGATTCTTCGATGTGGTCAGTCGAAAAATAATGATCTAATTTTGGCATTTCTTTGATCTTTTTCTTTTTCCTTTAAATTTATTGATGAAAATAAAAAACTCATAAATCTTCTATTAAGTATTTTTTGTTGTCAGATATCGATCATTTTGAAGAGAGAGAGTTCTCACACTTGTTATTATATGATATAAACATTGCCGACTAATTCATTATTACTTGCAAGAAAAAATGTTTCTATTCTCATGTCGATGACATAGAGATGAAAATAAATGATTTGAACGTGTGAGAAAGAACATTATTTAAATAGATCAAAGAGATGATGTTTGTACTATCTAAGATTAATGTTATATATATATAACATTTCAACTCGTGTCAATTGATACTATCGAATAGATACTTAAATATATTAAATGATCGATTAGAAGAAGAAGAAAAAAATGATTCTCTTGATAGTTCTCGAATTATCTTTTCAATCCTTTAAAAAAAAAGGAATGGTTATCAAACTAATATGAACAAAAAAAAGATTTATTATTTTTGTTTTCTTATTGATCAATTATATTTCTTAGATGAAAGTTTTTTATCAAAAGAAGAAAAAACACGTATAAATGTTATTTATCATTATTGAATCTATATCGAATATTTCGTATTGAAAGTGAAGAAAAAGATACCAAGTAATCTGAGACAACAATATATTAGTTTTTCTCATAGATTCATATGATAAAAGAGAAATTCTCATATTTAGTTTGATTTAGAATGAAATACATTTAGTTCTTGCTTTAGTATTATTAGTAATAAGTTAGTTTTATATCATTTTCGGTAGTCAGCTTGTGAAATAGAGAGAGCATGGCGAATGTTTTTATATTAGTACGGTTAAAATAACAAGAAATAACTATTAAAAAAATATGTTCGCAATTAGAATAGATAAATGAAAGGGTTATATTTTTGTCTTGTAAATCTTAATTAAAATATCTTTTAATCTTTTGCTAATGATTTAGTTATGATTAATGAATCGTCAATAATTTGTGTCGAACTATTTTTTCGATGTATTGTTGATATATGATAATTATCATTTATTGTTGTTTTCATCATTTTTATTGTTGATTCTTGCATATTATTAATTGTTGGATTAAATATTTTTGGTATTGATTTTCCAATTCCCAATAAAGATATATTCGTTGGTGAATCATTATTAATATTAGATGAAATTCGTCCTTTAATCCAATCATGATTTTTTATTTGAATTATTGAAGCTCGAAGTTTAATATCTGGTTCAAGTAATGATAATATTAATTGTTTACATTCATATGATAAAGGTTTATAACGACTAAAATGTATTTTTTTTTCAAGTTGATATCGTACAAGTTTACGAATATTTGAATCATCAAATGGCATTGAACTATTATTAATTTATTATTTAGAGTAAAACAAAACAAATAAAAATCATCTCACCCATAAACCATTATATATAAAATAACTCCACATGACCATATATCAGCTGGTATAGCATAATATGGTATACCTTGAAGAATTTCACAAGAAGCATATGCAGCTGAACCACAATATGTATGAGATAATTCATTTGTTTGAATAATTCTTGCAAAACCAAAATCTGATAATTTAACATCGAAATTTTTATCTAATAAAACATTTTCACATTTTAAATCACCTTATTTTTTAAAAGAAAAACAAGAAAAATATAATTAGAAAAAAATATTCAAAAAAAAATTTCTTTTACGATGAACAATATTTATTTGATGTAAATAATCTACAGCTGATATTAATTGTGTAAACATTTTTCTTGCTTTATCTTCATTTAATTTTCCAATTAATTTTATATAATCAAGTAAATCTGTTTTAGCTAATTCCATAACAATACATAATTTACTTCCATAAGAAAATATATCATAAACTTGAACAATATGTAAATGATTGATTTGTTGTAATATAGATAATTCACGTGGTAAAAAATGACGTTGAAAATCTGCTGGAGCTTTACGTCGATTAATTATTTTTATAGCAACTTTATGTGATAATTGTTCACTATAAGCAGATTTTACTTTTGCATATGTACCTGTACCAAGTGTTGAACCAACTCTTAAACCATAACGAGCTAATTCAATTTCATCATTATTATTTAAAAGTATTGAATGATGATGATGATTATGTTTATTAATTAAAGATGTTATAGGAGAATTTGTATCACAATTATTTAAATGTGATAAAGGTGTTGTAGTCATTATTCCAATTATTTAATTCATTATTAAGATAATATTTATAGAATAATGAATGGTTATTTTTTTTGTTTTAGAAATTAAATGAATAGTAATATTACGCAAATACCGATGTATAATGCGCAATATAAACTATTCGACACAAGTTAGTCTTTGTTTATAGCGCCATCAAATTAGTTACAATAATATTTTTTTTTATTTTTAATATTTTTTGTTTTCTAGCTTTTATAATGTTTTATTGTTATTTAGATAAATGATTGAATTCGTGAGTAAGATTATTTTAAGCAAAAGTGGAGTTTTAGTTGACTATCGAATTACTATTGGAATGATGTCTGTTTCGATGCATAAAGTGATGCAAAAACTACGAAAAGTTATATTTTTGTTCGTAGTCTTTTATTTAATGAAAGATATGATAAATAAAAATAAGGTTCATGTTGTGAAAATCGTGCTTAGTCACTGTTTTTTGTAGTTGGTATCAACTTATTCATTTATTTCGATTCTAAATGCCTTTGTTAGATACATTTCCAGATTGAAGTATAAATAGTATTTTCTAAACATTTGTTGTCGATATTATTGACTATTTTATTTTTTATTTAAAATCCTTTTTTCTCTTTTGATAGAATAAATATCTAGCTTTAACATGTTAATTTGTTTAAAAAAAACAAACAAATAAAAAGATAACAAAAATAACAAATAGAAAAGATCAACATAATTCTCCATTTTGATTTTGTTCTCTCATTTTATACAAATGCCACATTGATTCAATTTTATAAATTCTTCCAGCACAAAAAACATACAATTGTTCAAATGGTTGAAATCTTCTTAAATTTCCCCAAAACCCAAAACCTGAATTTGATATGATTGATATATCACATAATTCTCCTAATAAGTGAAAATCTGTTAAAAGTTTGTCTTGTTCACGACAAACTTTTTGATTAATATTTAATGAACGATCAAGATGTGTAATTTCACCTGATACATATAACAGACGAGAACCATAACGTTGTTGAGCTTCATTATAAACTTGTTGATTATCTGTTGTTAAAAATATATTAGAATTTTCATTCGTTAAATTTGAATCGATAAATGAAAATATTGTTTCACTAATATTTTGACGACCGGGAAGCAATTTATCATCTGGAATTGTCGGATTTTTTCCTAGAAATATATTTCAATATTTATACAAATCATAAGATTCATATACAAAATGATTAGAATTACGCCGACTAAACTTATCTAATTAAAATTTATTTCAGATGGAAATAATAAGATCGATATCTTTAAAAATATTAATTTCAATTAATTGAGTACCAGCCCTTTAGATATTGAATCGCCAGTTGTAAGTTGGGACGTTTTATCAAATGAAAACTAGAGCGAAATCTTCTAAATTATAGGTCATCTTCAAGAAAGTTAAAGCACTGTATGCATTTCTGGAAATTTTCTCTTAAATTTAATATCAAATTATATTTGATCAAAACGAAGCAAGATTACTAATACAAAGAGTATCAGGAGCGTATCGAGGGTGAGGCGCGATGCTCCCCCTTCGTTTAGATTTACGTTGAAAATAGTAAAAATATATCCTATGCCTATTGTATGCCTCTTGATACGATACTGAGTTTTTAGTATCTTGTTTTCATTATTATTTCACAAAGTATATGTATTCTATTTGTTTCAAATGATATTATATTTAATAAAACTACCTGTTCGTATTTGTGCACAAATAATTTGATGAGTTTTTTGTTTGAATTTATATTTTAAAATATGTTGTTGAATCTTTTGAACAGGACGAAAAAGTATTTCGTAAAATAATGGAAAAAGTATTTCTAATTTAATATTATATTTAGTCATAATTCCATATGATTTAAATTTTTTTCTATAAAAAATATTATTTGATAATTGATAAAAATAATCTTTATTTGTTGCCCAATATAAAACATCTTCAGACCAAATTGAATCAATTGAATTATTATGATGTAAAATTTGTGAAACATTTGTAAGAATATTTTGTTGAGTATTAGCTGTTGTTATTAACATTTTACGTGTTAAATTAAATCGTCGACGATGTGTTATTGGATCAATAGCAATTAATCCATCGATTGATTGTGTCCAATTATATAAATTTGGACGAAGTATATGTGTTAAATTACATGGATGAGTTATTTCAATACGAAAATTACGATCAAGCATTAATGATAACATAAAAAGACTCATTATACCACGAAGACGATCTCCCCAACCTAAACAAGAAAGAATTTTATTTATAATTCCTCCCTTTCGTACGTTACTGATTTACCTCCGCAATTTTCATGGCAAACATAAACAAGATATTTTCCACGTCGTTTTGGTGTAAGAATAGCTGTTAAATTAATATCACGTGTTTTAGAATTATTTGTTAACCAATAATCAAGACGATTCAAATCAATTGTTGGTAATAATTCCGTTTCTATTTCATCGTTTTGGAATATCGTTGTTGTACTAGGTATTTTATTTATAGAAGATGATAATATAATTGGTTTTAATGTATCTTCATCTTCTTCTACTTTAATAGATTTTTCATGATATCTCCAAATAAGTATAACTGTGAATAAAAATATACAATAGACAATAATTGTACGTTTACAAAGAGTATTTCCAACGATCATGCACCACAACCATCGATCCTATAAAATAATTATATTGTAAATATTATTAACAATTTTGTATTAATAATGTGACATATGTTCGATTATATATAAATAGGATAATAACATGTCATAAGCGACATAGTGGAAAAAAAATGTGAAGAAAAAAAAAGAATGATGTGACAGTATTACTACAAGTTGATTATTTACTTAAATCAAATTACATATTATTTTTTCTCTTCTCATATGTATCAGAAGAGTCTAAAATCGATAATGTATAATTTTTCGTTATACTACGGTCAATTTGTTTTTTTATAACGTTTAAGAGACGATTTTTTTTTCTCTATACTCTTCAAACACAAGAAAAAAAAACTTTAAATCAACTCATTTCGTTCTGTGAAAGTAACTGTTGACGTACAGAACGAAAGAACAAAAAAAACTTTTCTTTTATTTGACAATGTTTTTCTAGTACTTCAAAAGAAGTATAGTGATTCAACGGTGATGGTTATAGGTAAGCAAAGTTCTCTTTTATTTTACTCGTTCTTACGTATATGAACAATTTCTTTATTTTAACAAAAGATTTTAGATATACCATATTTATATATATATATAATCAACTGAGATTTTAAAAAGATGAAGTGCATATAATATTAGTTTTATTGGTTTTATTTGGTATATTTAATCCGCGTCTTTTTTTCGTCCTAATCATATTTACTTCAACTTCAATGTTTTCTCTCACATTTCTTTTTTTGTAATATTATCACTGAAAAATCGAATTTTAATAAAAAATAAATATGATCAAGAAACACTTACTCTGAATACAAAACGATATGGTGTTCGTATTTGGAACATTCTATTAAATATTTTGATACTAAATTAGACAATCGAATATCGATAATAGAACTAAAATGTATCTAATTTTGCAAAGAAAAAGAAAATAAATAAACCTTGCATGTTAAGAGTATATTTTATACTAAACTGTTTCGATTAAGAATATTTCTATAGTTATTTTTTATTTCTCAAAATAAAAAATCGAATGTTTATTAGTTATTAAATATTCAAAACTAAAATAGCAGTAATTTATAAAGATTTTTTTCTCAATTTATCCATAAAAAGAAAAAGAGAATTCAATAAATTCTATTAATAAAACAATGCGCTTAGTTGATTGTATAATTATCTTACACTATTATTTGTTGGCTAGAAATCTTATAAAATAAAAAATATATAAATTTTAATATCGATGTACTTAAATTATTTCTATATGAAAATTGAAAATGGAGAATGAGAAAGTCTCATATATGAAATCATAATAGTGTCAAAAAAATTTCTTGTTTTTGTTAGACGACGGATTGTTATTCTATACTTTTGTTAAAGTATTATAATTCAGAATAGAAGAGTGTATAAAATAAAAACGAAACAAATTATTCAAATCCATTAGAAAAAATAACAACATCATATGAACGTTTTAAGTCTTTTTTTTAAATACATTTCTTTATACATCATATCATATTCGAAAATGACATTAATTTAGTTATTAAATACCGATAATCAGATTTTTCTATTAAATTTATTATTATGAAAAAAATAAAATAAAATCTTCTATTTTAATAAACATACTTTTATAGTTCGACGTTTTGAGTACATTATTCGACGAACAACAAGTACAGATTGTGATGACAAAAGAACCATATGTTAAAACGGAATATGATCAATCAAATAAGAAAAGAAATTGGATAAAATATACGTCAATTATGACAGAGTATTGTTAAATTTATCTTTACAATAGAACTTGATATCACTGGACAACTACTTTTATACAAAATATCCGTTTTACAATACAGCTTACTTCTATATCAATACATATAAAATGTTATTATGCATATTCTTTTAGTACAACATATGGTACTAGCTTCACATTTGCCCATTATCAGAGGAACATAGATCATAAACAAAGAAAGCAGAGGAAACAAAAAGAGAAAAGAATAAGATTAACGATAAGAAAATGATATCTTCCGGTATTATTCCTACTAAAGAATAGCAAAAAGATTAACTAACAAACATCTATCTCAATAAAGAACAATAAAAAAGAGATTATTTTCAATGTCAATGTTCATGAAAGATATTTTCTAATATTTCATTCTTCTTTTTTATCACTTAGAATATTTTAAATAATAATAATTATATTATTTCAATGTTTATTGCTGACATCTTTTGATAAAGATTAATCAATAATAGTAATATTAATAATAATACTAAACGGTATTATAAAATTTTATCTGATATATATATAAATATAAAAAAAAAATTTGCATTCAAACAATAAAAAATAAAAAGATAAAATTTAAATTTGTTGTTCTTGTTGATTTTCTACAAGTCTTTTTAATTGTCGATAATAATCATATAATGGTTTAACAATTTTTTTTTGTTCACCTTTTGTCGGTTTTGAATATTTGGTTTCAAATCTTAATAATTCTTGTTGAACATTTATTTTTTCATCATAAATTTCTTTTATTGTCATATGTGATGGATTTTCAGGTCGGTTATATCTTAGACGATGTTTTTTCATACGTTCTTCTATTTTTCGTACTTCATTAGCAAGATAACTTAATTCTGATGATGGAGATTTAAATGGATCTATGAAACCATTTGTATTTTTTGATAATGTCTGATTACTAAATGTTGTACGAAAATTTGATAATTTTGATGAAATACGAGTTAATGATAGTTTTTCTTCTGGTAATGATATATCATATGTTGAAAGAGGTTTTATTCGTTGAGGATTAGATATTGGTTTTGAAATTGTATTTAAAGAATTTGAAAATGCTTGAGGAAATGATCGAGAAAAATGATAATAATGATCAGATGGTGTTATACCACGAAATAAAAAGCCATCAATGGCTAAATCAATACATTCATGTAAGAAATGATTTGGTGGAGAGGTAAAATTATTATTATTATTGTTAATATTATCAGACATTATATTCGAAATAAAATTTATCGAATATTGAAGATAAAAAAAAGAAGAAGCAGGTGAGTGATATCAGTGATAACCAATACGATATGATTCTAGAGGGTTTATACGATTTATTTAATGGTTTGAAGAATCAACCAATGATTTAAAAAATAAAATTACAATATATATAATAATGCAAAAAAAACGAAATATGTTTGAAAATATCAACGATAATTAAGAAATTTTAATTAGAATTATTTATTTTGCTTGAGATTTTCTCTTATATTAACTACATTCAGAAACAAATCTATTTATTGTTGAATTATCTAACAAGTAATATCATATCTCTTGTAATTGAAAATTTTATTTTGTTGACTTGAATAAAAAGAGACGATTTTAATATATGATTGAAGATTAAGTATCACTAAAAACATCTGGGTAATTGGACGTCGTCCTCCGTCTTTATTTTTATTCCGCGATGGATTCATGTTTTCAATCGAAATCTAAGTTATTATCAAACATCAAAATATTAAACTCAGTTTGAAATTTAATATACTGAAATTATTTCAGATAAATTATTAATTAATGTAAATTTATTTTATATAAGAATGAGTATTCCATCACAATCTCAAACTTCACCAGTTATTCATTTTACCAGTGTAAATCAAATAGAAAAATTCGAATAAACTTTTCCATAGCCTTTTTTTTCTCCTCGATTTAGACTGTTCGTCATGGTCCAAGTCCATCAAATCCAATAACTGTCTCTCCTTCTACATCATTTGATTATGATAGTCAAAAACAATATGCAGCATTAATTAGTCGTCCTCAATCAACACCAATATCATCGCCTATTTTTATTCCAAGATTATCAATAAATAACTTTGATAAAAATGAAACAAATGAAAATTTAATAGCAATATTAAGAAATAATAAAAGACAACGATTAACAACTTGTGATTATTCATCATTAACGAATGTAACACCTTTAAATGAAATAAATAATAAAATCGACTCATCCATTCTATTGGAAATATCTGATGATAGTGATGATGATGGTGAAATTAATTATAATAATAAAAATCGATATGTTCTTCGTCCACCACCTCTTATGGTACTTTCACAAAGTATTCAAGCTAAACATCCCGAACAATTAATTGATAGTAAATTAAATAATCGATTTTCATCAATTAAAGATTTACCAAATTCACCAGCTAATTATTCATTTGTTTTTCATGGTTTTACATCAATGTTTGTATTTTAGGGAAAAAAAATGAATATTTCTAAAAAATATTTTTTTTCTATTCTTTTCAGTCAGATAGAAGAAACAAAACGATTAACTCGTCGTATGGGTGATTGTTTTACATCGGAAATTATTGATATAACAACAACACATGTCATTATACCTAATGATAATCCTCATATGACAATAACACTTGATCTTATTCTTGCATTTATTTATGGATGGTTAGTTTAATACAGTACAAAAAAATATATATTAAATATAATAGTATAGTAACTAATGTATTTACTAACAAAATCTAGCTAACTTAACGATCTGAGTCACTAGTTTTCTCGTTAGTCAATAAAATTAAATCATTATTTTCCTACTTTAAAATATTTGTAATAATACATGGTAAGTCGCATTATCGATGATACGTCTATGAGAATATATAAAAAGTCATTATTTGTACACTGTAGAGTTCAGACTATTCAATCTATACTTGAGTGGACTATTAAGTGTATATTACGATTATATAAAAGATTTTTTCAATTTTATTTTTACGTACCACTTTATCTGTAAGAGTATTTATAAACTCGTTAGAGTATAAAATCATTCGATATGATTAAAAATAAAATAAATCTATTTAATTTCTAGTCGTATAGTAACATTTGAATGGTTAAAATCATCATCACGTATTGGTGAATGGTTACGTGTCAATAAATTTGAACCAAAAAACTTGTTTAATAGTAATTCATCATTAAATATTTATCGAAAATTTCGTCAACAAAAAAAATCTATTGAATTATTTAATCAATGTGGTTTGATTTATTTAACATCTATTGCTGAACAACGTCATTTATTAGTTAAATTAATAACATTATTAGGAGGAAATGTAAGTTCTAATGAATTTCATTTTGAAAAAAACATTTTTTTTCTTTCAAAGATTACAGTTAATCGTGAACGAGCAAAAATCGTTATTGGACAATCATCAAAAAAACTTTCGATAATTATTTATCCACATGTGACTGAACAATGGGCTATAGGTTGAATTATTTTGTATTTAATTCTTAAATAATTTTCGTTTATTTTAGATTCAATTAAAGCTGGCAAATGTCTTTCAACTGATGATTATCAAATTGATAATAATACTTAATTCTAACGATACTTCAAATGTGTCAGATATATTTGTTTTATTTTATTTCGATTTTTTTTTTCTATAGATTATTTCATATGTATAACTAATAAACAAAACAAAAAAAATGATTAGGAAACAAATAAATATTTGAACATATGTGATAGAGAAAAAAAGCAAAATGAATTTTTATAATATGTTGTTATAGAGAACGAATTCGATAGTATTTATTGATTATATTCTCAATGAAATTTGATGTTTTCTAACAACCTGTTATATGAATCCTACTATATGATCATCATATAAGTAAACTTCTTTACTTTTTTTTTTCTTCTTTCTTTTCTCTATAGCCGATTTATGAGCAAGGTTCTGTTCTTTTTTCATATCTCATGCTGTGCTTTGTATGAACATAAAAGAAACGGAAAGAATAAAAGGATGAAGAAGGAAAAGAAAAAGTGAAATTTACGATGTTGCCACTACCGTTGTCGTGCTGACGACCTTTTTTTCCTGTAATGACTGACTTATAACAACGGATTGAACACTCTCATTCCTTTTTTTTTTTTTTAAATATACATTTTATTAACAAATGGATAATATATCGATTAATAATCATTTTCAATCGATTTTTTATCTTCTGATTCATATTTCATGTTCATTTGTTCAATTATCTTGTATATTAACTATATTAGGTTTACAAATAACATTGACAATAACACAAACATGTGCATTTAAAATTGGTGTTGGTTTTTGGTCATTTCCATTTTTATTTTTATCACCAATTAGTATTTGGTTACTTGTTTGGAAACGAAATTTAATTTGTTATTGTTTAAATTTTATTTTTCATATTTGTTCAACATTATTTGCAACAACAATTATTATTATTAGTTTTCTTGCACTTATTGGACAAATAGGAACATCCTGTTCAATGTCTTCATCAACAACAAATGCGTATTTTTTACCATTAAATATTTCATTAATTGTTATTTCATTTATTCTTAAATTGTTTATCTATGGAGAAATTCTTTTACTTTATATCTTACAATATAATTCAACTCAACCATCAATTTTATCTGATAAACAATTTCAAGAAAAAAATTATGAAATTATATCGGATGATGTTTTTATGAAACGATGGAATTTATTTCGATCAATATTGAAGAAAAATCCAAATCATGTTAATGATTTAGAGATTTAATTTTTTTTTCCAAATGTATATATTATCGAAAAAGATACATCTTGACAGTTTTTTTTTGTATATATTTATTAATGTAGAAAGTTAATATTTAGAAAAAAAATTATTAAAACAAAAAATCATTATTTTTATTTAACAAATATTTGCTAGATTATCATTTATCTATTATTATTTTATTAAATATTAATGTACATATATATTACATAACTGATCGCTCGTTCATTACTTTTTTTTATTGAGTATCGAAATTATAAGATGAAGACTTATAAAGATTTCCAATTATTTTGAAATGAATTCAATGTAGTAGATGTTCGATGTTAAAAAATATTTACGGGAAGATATTACAATCGTAGTTGTAATTTTATGGAAAACTGCTTCCTGCGTTCTTCGATCGATTGAACATCTTACATTACTGAACTGAGGATTATTCAGGCTATTTGAATCATTCAATCAAGTCATTTAACTGATTCCAAGGAAGTAAGGTTTTTGTCTCTTATAAACTCGAAGAAAGAGAGAGACCTCACACTTCTTGTGTGAAAAACTTCGAGATATCTAAAAAAATATTTATTGAAAAAATATCGATCATAATAAAAGAAAATGTGAATAGATCGAATCAGTGATTTAGTAAATTGAACATTTGTTTCGACAAAATTCTTTTCGTTTTTTTAATTGTAACAAATTATTATTATCTTTATTAGCAAGACATTTTATTTCACAGTCAACTTTTCCCGATGTAATAGATTTTAATGAATAATCAATATCTTGTATTTTTTGTTGTTTTGTTTGTTTATTATTTTCATAAATATTTTCGATTTCTTTTTGACAACCTATACTACACATTTTCTATAAAAGAAAAATAATTGAATCTATTATTTAAGTTGTAATCCACTAACATGTAGTTCTTTTAATGTATATATATGTTCAATTACTGCACTAATCTGTGATTTAACACATTCATCTTTGCATGTTTCTATATAGTTATCTTGATTAATTTGACGTCGTGATCGATATATTTCAGATTCGTTACTTTCACTAGTTGAATCAGATTGACCATTAATTGTCGAAAAACTCATTGATATAATTAACAAACAAAAATCTATTTATTACAAAAGAATCTCTTTGATATTTAGTCTATATGGTAAAATCGAAACATACTTAGAAGATTGATAAGCATTTTATAAAATTTATTTTTAAATGATATATATATATATAATATAGTAGAGGTAAAGTTAAGATAGAGAATAAAGATCAATACGGTTGTCAAGGAAATCTTTAGATTAGATTAAATAAGTCATTTCTACATTCTCGAAATTATCAAATAAAAATAAAAGATAAAAAAATTTCTAAGAATATCTATTGATCATACATACATTGAATTAGAATATATAATCTATGCTAAAAATGAAATCACAGATGGTGCCAAATAATTTTGCATTTCATAACGAATAAACAATATCATAATATAAAAACAAATCTCATTGATATAGTCAAAGCATCTTTATATAAATTTTTTTTTTTTATAAATGATTGAAAAAAAGATTTGTGGAATTCTTCTAATTGCTGGTATATTTTGTTTAACAAGTGTTATTATATCACTTTATAGTATCTCGACTGCTGATTGTAAGTGATTGATTTTGAAAAAAAAATAATAATAATTATTTTATTTAATATAGGGTCAGTAGTTGGTTTATATAGTATTGGTCTTTTTCAAACATGTTCTACTTCTGGATGTATTAAAAATCAATATGGAATTAGAAATTATGAAGCAAATTCACCACCAATATTTATTAAACGATTTTATAATGCTATTCCATTATCTATTGTTAGTGTAATTATTCAATTAATAACTTGTTTTTTCTGTTTTTTAACAGCATTTATTTATTTACCAGCAAAACCTTCTATAACTTGTTATATAACTCCATTTTTAATATTTATTGCCTTTCTTCTTCAATTCTTTACTTTAACAGAAGCATCATATGGAATACATTTAAATGGACGAAGTTCGTCTTTATTTGAAGCAGCTCTTATACTACAATTAATTGTTATTATATTAACTATTATAGCAGCTGATCGTATTCATAACAGATGTAATTTTCAATATGTTTAACAATCAGATTCTTTTTTTCTTATTAAATTCGTGTATCTTAAAGAAAAATGTGTTTTTTTTATTGATTAAGCAATAAGAGAATGAATTTTATTATTAAATCATGAAGAATAAATAAATGAATGTTAAAGAAAAATATAATATTTGTTTAAATTCAATTGAGAAAAGCTATTTTGAAAAATAAAAGAAAAAATTGTAAAATGTTTTTCTTATTTTACATGGTGTTGTGGAAAAATGAATGGATGAGAATAATGTTGGTGATGTTCATCTAAATCGGCTTCCATTTCAGTGATCCGACTCTTTCTTTTCAGTGTGTGATGGTTTTTTACCTAAAATGAAAAAAAAGAAAATAAATTTTCATTATTTAAAATTATAGTATAAAATTCGAAGAAAAACAAATAGATTTTTTTTCTACTCAAATGTTCTTTCATTACCAAAAGAACTTACAAAGGCGAGCGTGCTCGCCGTTAGACACGCACAAAATAAAAGTGCAGCTAGAAGGAAGAGAAGAAGAGTCGAACCTTGATTAAGCATTTTTTCTTTTGGTTCATTTTTCATCATATCTGTGGTTAATTTAATTGAAGCAATGGTAACAACATCATTTTTGTTATCAAGAACCATAAGATCATTTGGCATATTTTCAAGTTTATCTGATGCTGATTGATCATATTCAGCTACTCGAATATGTGAATCATCTTCTGGTTCAACTGTAGTTGTTTGTGTTTTTCGTGGTGTGTCATATTTTGATACTCTGTGTGTTTTTTTTGGTTTTTCAGTTTCTTCATCATCATCACCAAGATGACCAGTAAATTTTCCTGTTGACATTGTTGAAGTAAAAGTTGATGGATATAATTTAGTTGTATAAAGTTCTGGAGCAATAGTTGATGTAAATGTTGTCTAAAAGGATAAAAATACTTTTATTGTTTATAATAAAAAGATATATCTATTTACCATAAAATCTGTTGTTGATTCCATGTCCATTTTTGATTTGATAAATTCTGTTGTAAAGTCAGTTTTATAATGAGATTCACCATCTTGAACGGTGTGTTCAGTTGTACCAAATGATGCATCATCAAAAAAACGTTTCATGGGTGCAGATTCAGTGTCTGATTCTACTGTTGTCATAAATGATTCATCAAAAGCACGTTTTGGAGCAACGAATCCTTCAGCTGTTGGGTGATGTTCGAATCGTTCTGAAGGAATAGATTCATCGACAGCATACATATCTGCAGCACCAACTTTTGAAGCATTGAATTTTTCAGTTAATGTATGATTGAATCGTTCTGATGGGATAGGTTCATCTACAGCATATGAATCTTTAGCATCACGTTTTGGAACAAACATGCGTTCAGTTGTTGGTTCAAATGTGAAATGTTCTGAAGCAGAGTGTTCATGACCCATATATGATGCTTGAGTGAAATCTTCTGGTACATAGTCTCCAGTAGATGTTGGCATATTCCATGCGCGAGAAATTTCACCTGATAAATTTCTGAGTTCTAATTCTGGTGTACTATCAGATGTAAACTATAATAAAATAAAATTTGAGATAAATAAAATAAAATAAAATAAATAAACTTACCATTTCTTCTGTAGATACATGATTATCGAATGATGATAATGTTGAACTCCGTTCAACAAGTGGTAAGGTAAAGCAGCCACTGACTAATACTAATACAAAAAGTGAGAAAGCGGAAATAACTGAAGTCATTATTGAAACCGTTTAATAAGTATATTCAACGGAAAGAATATTCGTTTTAATGTTAGCTTTTCTTGTAAAGAGTTTACTTCGACATGCATTTTCTTTTATAGAAACACTTAAACAAAGAAAGGATAACATGATATCATTTATCGTCATCTTTTTCTATAGAGAAAGACAAAAACAAAGAATGCAACGATCATAGTCTGATAGTACAATAGTTAACAGTATGTAAGTAGATAATCACTAGGTTTACTACATCGTCTATTTTTCCAGGCATCGTTAGAAAGAGAAAAAAAGAAAATAATGTCAGATACATCAGAAATAATAAAAGAATTATTTAAATAAACTCGAATGTCTAAGATGACCTCGATAGAATTTATAATGATCAGTCTGTGACTTTTGAGATAAATTGTTGAAATAAAAAGAATTTTTCAAATCATTCAAAAGATCTATCTGTTTTTCTTCATAGTATCATTTTTCAGTTGTATTCCAAAGTTATTTGAATATTGTGATAAGAGCAAATGTATTTAAGATTCTTTTGCAGAGTTGAAAACTTTTTAAAAAGAATCAATTTGTTCCAGTGAACATTTTGTAGAATAATTTTCAATATAAACAATTAGATAGATAAAACAAAAGTTATTATACTAATATTGTCAAAACTTATATTTCATTCAAAGATGGAGCCACATATACATATTATCAATATAAAACTATTAAAACATTTCAAAAATATATAAAATAATAAATCTCAATATAAGTAAAACAAACTCGAATCTTCATTTATTTATAATTAAAATAATTACATATAACTAGTAGTTGCCAAACAACTAGTTGAATAAATTTAAATAAATGGCGTATATATATGTTGATTTAACATCCGCAAAAAGTAACTAGCAATCGAAAGAATCATATTTGTTATTATATCGATCTTCAAAGAAATGACCCATCCAGAACCAAGGTACTATTTACCTTGTATTTCTTATCTTTTATTATAATATTTTAAAATAATTTAGTACATTAGCTCAATATAATTCTCTAACAGATCCAAATTTACAAAGTTACTTTAGTAATGAACGTATGCAAACACATTTAAAACATGCTGGATTAGTAAATAGATTTTTTTATTTTAAATTTAATTAATTTGTAAAAAAAATAAAATCTAACTTTTTCTTAGATTTCTGGTCGAGGAGATGTTTTATCTGATGGTGAATATCGAACAAGATTAGCACGACGTGAACATAAAAGACATGTTCGACATATGCTTGCTGAAAATATTGTTAATCGGTAATAAAACAATTGAATTATTATTATTTCTTCTAATGAATTCATTTTTTTAGAGCTATTGATATGGAACGATCACGTAATGCTGAAAGGAATCGTTATTTTGACATGGTAGCAAAAGCAGCTTTAGTTAATGATATTAAGGTAAAATCGGTTTGTTTTTATATAAATAAAAAAAGTGAATATTATTTTGTTTAGGAATCAAGAAGACGTACGGGACATTTATCTGGATTAATGTCATGCTCAAGTGATATGGCTTTATTATCAGTTAATTCATCATGGTCACAAGCACGACCACGAAGTGCAAATTATCAAAATGATATGGTTATTTGAACTTTTTCTTTTTCTTTACAAAAAAAATTTTTTTATTTTATTTTAAAAAGTATGAAGAACAAATTAGTATTCCTCGTATACAATCTGCAAGTATGAATGGTGATCATCGACCAAAAAGCTCATCGAAAACTCGAAATCGTCGTCAAACATCACTTCAACGACCAAAATCATTAGTAAAATATTATAGAAATTCTCTACTTGTATTTTATTTGTTTTTCATTTAATTAAAGAATCGTCCTCGTTCACCAGCTAAATATCCTAAGGGATCATTATCATCATCACCTTGCCAAATAAAAATGGTTTATTATGGTCCACATACAAAAATTGATTATGATCGTATGATATTTACAGATATTGATGAAGTCATTGTTATGCAACAACATTGTGGTGGAGAAAATTTACCTGTTTGTAAAAAATTTTTAAAACCTGGAGGTTTAATTTTATTTATTAAATACTATTATGTTTTTCTAAATTTATCTTTAATATTTATTTAGATGAATTTACATTTATTTCTCGTCGTCATTCGGATTATCCATTTGGTTTATCATTATATATTAAAGGTTTAATTGATAGTCGAATTTCTACATGTTGTGAATATAAACATCGTCATGGTGTTAGATTAGGTGGTGAACGTGGACATTTTGCAATTATATCTGTTGATGGGTCGAAACCATGTATTAAGTATGTTAGAAATAAATAATGTTATTAAAGAATTCTATTTATGTGTATGTGTATTTAAATAAAGGTGTCAATTTGAAAAACAAGCACGATTAAAAAAATATGCTCAATCACCAAAAGGCAGAGATCAAAATGGAGAACCAGTCATAGTTTCAATGTCTGTTTCCGATGAACCGAAAACAAAACAAAAACCTGTATTAATACCTGTGAGACATACGTCTATTTCAAGTAAATTTCAGTTTTAATTTTCTTAGAAATATTGTATATTTATTTAGATGAAGACAGTTATGAGGATGATTTTGATGGTTCAGAAAATCGAAAACAACTAGATAAAGATGATGCTTCATCAGATTCAACTAGAAAATCTTCATCAAATGATAGAAAACCTTTAGGAACAAGCAATGCAACACCGAAGGTAAAAATAATCTTAAATATATAAGAAATTCTTGTATTTTTTCATTAATCAAACACCATATTAAATTTATGAATAGGTAATCATGAAATTAAAAGGATTCGAGAAGAGTAATGGTGAAAGAATAAATACTTAATGTTATCATTGAATATTTTGAGTAGCATGTACCGTGTAAACTTTAGTAGAAATGAAATTTCAGATTAAAACTCATTATGTATTAATACTCCTTGTTTCATATTACTCTTCATAAATAGTTCAATAAGATAATTATAATTGTCATTGAATCCAATGATATTCGAATGAAATCGATCAGATTACATTGTCTTTTTACTCGTATTATATTTCGTTACCTATTTCACTTTATTTTGATATGATTTTAATTTCTTAGGTACCTCCACGTGTATCACGAGTTGCCCAAAAAGCGTCATCCGAAAGATCTGATACATCATTCGATGAAACTCCAAAAGAAAAATCAACAAAAAAAACATGGCAAATTATATTTCATCCAACAAATATTTCTAAAGGAAATTTTCAAATAGG